GAATCTAGGGATAACAAGAGAAAAAATGGCTCCTTTCCTAAAAATGCTTGAATATCTCTACTAAGCTATTTTTAGGTAGGATAAAGTGTCCTTACTTCAAAGACTGTGTTAGGACCATATGGTTCATAACAGCTCCTCTTTCTCTAAGTGTCAATCTGTCAAACATGGTGCTCAATATCCATTGTTCTATTCTGTTTATAGCCTTCATTTGCAAAGTTTAACGCCCACCCACACACATTGTGCCCCTCCTGTTTCACTTCATTCTGTGTGCTTGCCTACTTTTACCTTTTTGCTGTAGTTTCTCCACACTTTTCTATATTCAATTTTATAATAATTTAATTTTAAAAATGTAATTTGAATAGACTTTTTCTAACTCATAGTTTTTCTTTTATAGCTAGGGATTAAATTTGTCAACTTTAACCCAAGAGAATTATGCTGTGAACTTTGTCTTTACCTGACTTCTTTTGAGAAATTAAACTATATTAGTGAAAACCTCATTTAATTCTTACAGTAACTTTCTGGGTTTCTAAAAAAAATAAATATACCAATTATCAAGGTTTAAATAGAGGTTATCATGGTATAGTTATTGCTTAAAATGTACATGTTATGTACATGTAATACCCTGTGTTGTGCTCCAGAGTGCATCAACTGACTTTAGGAAACTAAGTGCTATCTTAGAATAAAATTCTTCTGTCTTAGAATTTTCTGACATATCCTATTTTATTTGTACCAATATTTTATCTACTATACCTTAAAAAATATTGCTTTTCATTCTTCATTTATATTCAGTTCTCTTTTTGGATAAAGAATTGTGGCATTGGGTGACTTCCTAACACTCACTATTTTGAAAGAAAAAAATGAGGAAAAACAATAGAATAGAAACCGCCCCCCCCCTTGCCATTTAAATCCTTAGATTCCAGGAGCTTGGTTCTTTCTGTAAATGCCTGGTCTTTATAGACAGAGAATATGCCCAGTTTGTTTTAAGCAGTGCTATTGGCATGTGAGCTGATACATGATTTCTGAATACTTTTGGAAATAGAACATGTCCCCTGGATAGGATTTTGATGTACTACTTTTAAAAACAAGCTGGAACCTTGGGTTCTAGAAATAAAAGACAAAGTCAACCATAAGTAGATCAGCTAGGCAATAGAATTGATAAGCTTAGGAGAAAATTAATATGCTGTACCTCTTCATTTAACTCCATTTTAGCTTAGTTTTCATGGAAATCTGCATGTGGAGAAAGTAAAAATTGTCAAATATTACATTTTCCAACTGTATTATCCTATATAATTAAAGGCTAATATGCAAATCGACTGAACAGTGGAACAACTGGTCACTATGTGCATACTGACTACCAGGGGGCAGACGCTCAACGCAGTACTCCACAGCAGTACTAAGGATGTCTGACTGATGGCTTAGGCCAGAGGTTGGCAAACTGCGGCTTGCAAGCCACATGTGGCTCTTTGGCCCCTTGAGTGTAGCTCTTCCACAAAATACCAACTTCTGCGGATGGGCCACAAAGTTTCTATCGCACTGTACATGCGTGCCCACATGTGGTATTTTATGGAAGAGCCACACTCAGGGGGCCAAAGAGCTGCATGTGGCCCGTTAGCCGCAGTTTGCCAACCACTGGCTTTGGCCCACTCCCCACGAGCCATCAGTTGGACATTCCCCTGAGACTCCAGGACTGCAAGAGGGCATGGGCTGGGGTGAGGGCCTCCCTCTGAACCCAAGTGCACAAATTTCGTGCACCAGGCCTCTAGTAATAATAATAATAATAAGAAACAAAGTTGAGAATGGAGCAGGAAAATACTTTTACAAAACGTAGGGGAATATGGCAAGGCAAAATTTAAAAACCATAGGCATTTGTGAGTGTGTGTGGAACTCATTTTTTAAAATATCCTTATTATTGAGAATATTACATATGTCCTCCCCCCCCCCCATTGACCCCTTCTGGAACTCATTCTTTATATCTCCCTTATGAAGCCAGGAAATAGTTCACAAATGATTTCCCCATCCAGGTTTTGGCATTTTTGAGTTTCTCATGTGAAATTAAGTCTAGAATATTGACTTGCAAGCTCAATTTCAATATTTGCTCTGCTTCCACACAAGATCAAAGACAGTGTTCTGCATAATTATGTGGTCATATTAATGGGACAGTTATGTCTTTGGTGGCTTAGTTAGCATCAGTTAATTCTGTAGTCATATTAACTCCTTTTATTAAGAGTTCCTGAGCTGGACATTCGTGTTTACTCAGATTATGGATAGCTATGTAGCATTTAGATTTCTGAGCACACACCA